CAGCCTCAAAGAGGTTCACTATACACAGATCCTCCAATGTTCTTACACTTTCTCTGAAACGTTTTGCAAATTTTACTGGAGGAAAAATTGCTAAGGTATGTCGATATTATTAATAACCTTTTATATCAAGCCTTTCAGACCTAAGTGTTAGTAGCTATTAAGGGGTATAAATGACCAAATTGAACAGTTCTGTTACCTGACTTTCTAAGTTCTTCCAGCACTTAGTAATGGGAAAAACTGTCAAAGCGTTGAGCCAGCAGCGTGTTCTGTGTATTTTCTATAGTCCTTAGGTGGTTAGACTTTCCGATGATAAAATCGGTACCTGTTGTCCACATCTGGGCTTTGTAGTCAGCGAAGGTACCGATCGTGCACAGGGAGAGCTTGCGTCATTTGAAATCCGAGGACGACGTCCCTGCCACGTCTCTCATCCAAGTTTATTTTCTTGTTTCATCTGTTCTCTGACTGGTCGCACATGGAACTTTCCCACTTTCTACTTTCCGAAGATTGAATGGAGTTGGTCCAAAGTTATCATGTAGGAGAAATAATCCATTATTTAATGATTCGGGATGATTCAGGAAATAATCCCGAATCATTAAAAATAAGTGATGACTGAAGTCCAGAGTTGTCATTTTGTTACTGTCTCCTCTGATGTATTTGAAGAATTCACTTAATCCTCATTTGTTTAGAGGGAATGAAGAATACAGTAGGATTGTATTAAATACACTCTTAGATTCGGGTACGTCCAGGTTAATCATGTCCTTTGAAATAGGGTGCACCAAGTTAGTTTTCTGCTAGAACAGCATAGGGTACACTGTTCTGCAGGTGCCTAAATGCCCCACACCTGGCTATGTGGAATGCTCTGTCTTCAGAAATAACGTTTCTTTTCTTCTTTCCGTTTAGGATGTGAAATATCCTGAATATCTTGATATCCGACCATATATGTCTCAACCAAACGGAGAACCGATTATTTATGTTTTGTATGCAGTGCTGGTACACACTGGTTTTAATTGCCATGCTGGCCATTACTTCTGCTACATAAAAGTAAGCCGTGTGGATTTTGCTAAAAACTTTTCACAACACACTGTAAGATAGCAGGCATTCTTGGGGGGAAAGGCGAGACTTTTGCAGTTAAAGTGTGAAATTCCCTTTTCCTTACACCTCTCTGGATTGGTGCCCGTTTCCCTAATCGTGCCTAAACTCTCCCCGTTGGCTCTCTTGCAGGCTAGCAATGGCCTCTGGTATCAGATGAACGACTCCATCGTGTCTACCAGTGATATCAGATCGGTACTCAGTCAACAAGCGTATGTTCTCTTTTATATCAGGTATTGTCAGGAAAGCAGATTTTCAAATTTCTGTTGCGTCATTTCTGTTCATCTCATCAACATAAATTCAGTCTTGGGTTATTTTTAAAACAGCAGCTTGATGCTTGGCAGAGGAAAGAAGGTAGCTTTCGAGTATGGGTCCTGAGTTTGATTTCGTTTCCAGCCCTTTGGCAGGTCAACAGTGAAACACACGCGGAGGGAGGGGGAGGGGTGGCTGAGGAGGGCAGGCCTCAGGAAGGGGACGCTGAGCACCTGGGTGTGGTCACCTCTCAGCCACTGAGCATAGGCAAGTCAGTCGCTTTTCTGATCCAATTCCGGCACCCCCACTCATTTCTTTCCTGTTGCTGCTGCGTATTCTGACTTGCTAACTCCATTTCTGGAAATGTGTGGCCTTGGACAATTTTGATGTGTGCTCCAAGGTATTCATTTGTAATGGCTGAAAATTAACACTCTAGAATTTCCAACAGTAGCAAAATGAGCATATACATTGTAATGTATCCATATATTGAAATAAGCAGTTGTTAAAAGTGATTTCTATGAAGCTTTTTTTTTTTTTTTTTAATGATATGAGCAAATGCTCAATATATATGGAGGAAAAGCGGTTTCAAATTTTATACACCGACATTGAAAAAATCAGTACAGGCTAAAGCCTGGAGAATAATCTGTTAAACCTGAATAGTAGATGCCTCTAAGGGGTGGTTTTGTTTCTAACTTCTCTGGATAGTATGGACTTTCTATAATTGTTTGTATTTATAACTAGAAAAATGTAAGTAAACAGAAAAGAAAAATAGTTTTCAGATAGTGGCATCCTCAGAATACACAGTTAAAAGTGCCATCTGTCCAGCTGCCCCGGTTGGCTCCCAGCCCGAGCACCTGGCGTTAGCGTACGGGACAGCCTGTGCGTGGCTCGGCTGTCAAGCATGTCAGCCTGTGTTCTGAGGGGTTATGACTGAGTGTCTGCTATGGAGCTGTCTCGTAACCCCAAGCTACATCACTCTCTGTCCCCAGGTCCCATGATGTGAAAAATGGAGGTGAACTGACTCATTCCGCCCACAGCCCCGGCCAGTCCTCTCCCCGACCCGTGATCGGCCAGCGGGTCGTCAGCAGCAAACAGGCCGCGTCAGGGTTTATCGGACCACAGCCTCCTCCCCACGTGATGAAGGTATCGTCCGTAGCGAGGGTGTCATCCGTACGCTGATTTTTTTTTCGAATGTGTCATTCAGGCCCTCAGGCTCACGTTGTAGTAGCTGCTAGCTCCTCACATGCAACTGGATTTCTTTTACATTTAGGTCATTTATTGTAATGTATTTCAAGCAGACAGAAAATCTTAGTATAATGATATGAACAGAATGATCAAGAAGAAAATCTGAGCATAAGTATGTTTAATGCTGGAGAGTTTAGCTCCCACGCTGGACTTCCATTCACTGGATGGCTTAAGTATCCGGGGACCCTTGATTAACGCTGGAACCCGGGAAAGAGACCCAGTTACAAGCTCGTGTCTGGTTAGCCCTTTCAGGAATGTGCATTTTCTCTCTGCTGTCCAGCTGGGTCTGACCACGCCCCCGATGGCCTCGGGGGCATCCGATGGCGTGCCATCACATGAGGTCGTGTGAAGCTCCAGGTCTTTGTACATGTAGAGGTCTGACTTGTGCTGGACTTCACGTTGAGCTTGCGGACAGCCCGTCTGCCTGCCGGAGTAATCCCTGTCCTCTGTGCCGTAATGTTTTAACGGCCTTTCAGTTCGAGTTTGATTTGTTTTGAATCAGCAGATTGTCTAGTCGCATGCTGTTTCTGAAGGACGTTGGGCTATGTTTGGATTATGGCAGGAGTCACAAATCAGATGCCTCTGGGAGCTGGGTAGGCAGTGGGCTTCTGAATTGGGCTCCCTGTAAGAGTGACATCAGGACACTGGCCCCCCGGAGAGCACATGCCCTGTGTGGAGGGGTGGCCTGGCCGCTATTGATTTTTCAAGAGCCCTCCCCCGCCAATGTTAAGGTAGCAGCTAATTCAGATATTTAAGAAAACATTGTGAAGGCCAAACAAAACCATCTGTGGACCAGGTTTCACCCACGACCTCTAGGTCGCAGCCTCTAGGACGTAGCGGCAGTGGGTGGAATCTGGAGCAGAGTAACTGCCTGAGTGGGATTCGGGAATGTCATGGAAAGGGGGTGGCTCAGCACGCGGTGTCTGAAGCAGCTCTTCCGTGTCTGCCCACACGACCCTCTCCCTAGCCCCCTTGGCCGGCGGTCATTCCCTGCTGGCTGGCACCTCCTCCTGCCTGTCCAGCAGTAGCCCAGCCAGGGAGGACATGCAGTACCATGGCCACGGCGCCTGCTACTTTCTGTCAGATTGGAACAGAAAGAATTTGGTCTGGGGCTTATTCTCTGGCAAAAATCGTGTGTGTGTGTGTGGTGTGTGTGTGTGTGTGGTGTGTGTGTGTGTGTGTGTGTTTGTGTGTGTGTGCGTGCGTGCGTGCGTGTGTGCGTGCGTGTGTGCGTGCGTGCAGGAGCGGGTGAGAGGAGGAGATGTTTCCAGGTGCGTGAAACTTGGTGTTTCGTGCAGGAGCGGGTGAGAGGAGATGTTTCCAGGTGCGTGAAACTTGGTGTTTATAGAAAGAGACGACCAGGTGGGCAGGGTCCGCGGCCAGGACGGTCTCCGCGTGTTCCTGGCGCCCTCACCGGCTGTGTGTTCTTACTTCCAGAACCCCCCTCACTTAAACGGGACTGGACCATTGAAAGAGACACCGAGCAGTTCCATGTCGAGTCCTAACGGGAACTCCAGTGTCAACAGGGCTGGTCCCGTGAACGCTTCAACCTCTGTTCAGACCTGGTCAGTGAACCGGCCCTCGGTTATTCCAGAACATCCCAAGAAACAAAAAATCACGATCAGTATTCACAACAAGCTACCTGTTCGCCAAGGCCAGTCCCAGCCTCACCTGCACGGCAGTCCTCTGGAGAGCCCCAGCAAGCCCGTCCCCTCGTCCACCGTCACCAATTCCTCCACGATACAGTCTACCTCGAGTGCGCCTACGACGTCAGTGTCCAGTAAAGCCACAAAGCAAATGGCCCCAAATGAGTCCTCTTCCAAGCCAGTGATGAATGGCAAGTCCAAGCTGAACTCAAGTGTCCTGGTCCCCTACGGTGCCGAGTCATCTGAAGAGTCCGACGAGGAGGCAAAGGGCCTGGGCCGGGAGAACGGTCTGGCTGCGGCCGGGAGCTCGCACCCCTCCGCTCAGGATGCCGAAGACGACGCGGCCTCTCGGCTTGAGCTGCGAGAGCCTGTCACCCTAAACGGTGCTAACAGTGCAGACAGCGACCCGAAAGAAAATGGTCTGTCATTCGATGGTGCCAGTTGCCAAGTCCAGCCTGCTCTACATGCAGAAAACCCCTTTTCTAAGGCAAATGGTCTACCGGGGAAGGTGAGCGGGTGTG